TCCGATTAAAACTACACATCAATAGCATAAATGTAAAAAACTCCCTTCTTGAAGTCCGAAATTCACCTGTGTCACCCTTTTTTGGACTTGACATGATACAACAGGTTCTTCAAAAAAGTTATTGTGTTCCGAAGATGACCACGGTGAAACAGGTTTGATGTTATAATTTCGTGAGAATATCGTAGAACGAATAAACTTGTTTCTTTGTAGATGATATCTTTCTAAAAATTTATTTAGGGTGAGATAGATAAACATTTAGTGGTTTAAATTACTCTCATTTCTTAGGTCTTGTTTTATAAAGCTATAATTAAAATCGTCATTTTCATGTAATTAAAAACAATGACTATAACCATTTTGTCAAGGAAATGATGACAGTATTCGAGTTAGTAAATGCAATATTTTAATTTATTATGTTTTGAAAATACTCTGTGTCGTGGTTTTTAGTTAACAACGACTATTGTTCAAGAATTTATATTATGATAGACTAGTTTGATAGTTTAGATGCTAACAATTTGATGTTCAGCCATTAAACAAAATATTTTAATCAAGTATCTCATCTTAACAATCAACTAATAATATTGATAGACATACATAATCATAATAGTATTCATTTTGCCGGACTAAAAGGTTTTTATCTCATAACCCTTCAACTTTCTCATGACCTCAAAACTCTTATAAAACTGGAATTCAATAGCTCACTACAAGTCACTATAAAATAAACTCTATTGAAGTAAACCCGTTTAAATATAAAATAAACTAATTCAACAGGACCGTGTTGGTCAAGATTTATTGAAAAGACGATGTTTCATACACAAGTTCTCACACGGCTGTCCGAGGTCAGTTTTTTTAAACCTGACACAATGGTTTGGACGGACACTCAAATAAAAATTAGGATACTGTTAAGAAAAACCTGTTTCGACGAATGAAAACATCCCTTAAATTTATTTTTAAGGAGTACAAGAAAGAATTAAAAGCTTTATAAAGTAATCTTACAACATAATAAGTGCCTATATAACCCGTTTTTTAGGACGTTTCCTATAAGAGGTAGAGTTGATAAAAAAGGAAAAAAAAAAATTACACATTTGCACTTTATACCGAATGTTTGCAACATCTGCACGCCTGCTTATACTCATGTAAAAAGCCAACGTCTAAGGCGCACAGAGAGAGGAGATGGGGGTTAGGGAGGCAGCACCGCGGTTCGTATACACACCTGCGATGTGTCTTTGTGTAAGAGTAAATGTGTATGTGTGCTTATATTTTCATTTCAATAGTTTTTGTGTTGCAACAGTGAGTGTAAGGTAAGGATGTGTGAGTTAATGCTGTATTGATTCAGCCTGTAGAGAGGAGTTATCAAGTTTATGATCTTTAAGACGCGTATTTTAGCTATTTTCTAACTCCCTATGTTGGCTTCGCTAACCTTAAATTACAACGGTTGAAATATTGATGCTACTTTTGTATTATTTTTGTTGTTTTAAAGTTGTGTTTGTAATCGTGTTATTATTCAGCTACTCGCCTTTAAGTAAGAGAGACTAAGTTACCTCGCATCGTAATGTCATCTAAATTGAACATGATCTGAAGTTGTGTTTTTTTTGTTATTAGTGTTTTCAATTTAATTCAATTCGTTTATTGAGCTCAATAATGTATACACAGGTCTTATAAATGTAGAAAGAAACAATTATGGACCCTGTCGGGCACGGCAACATTAGGAGAGAAAAGCAAACATTCCATCATCATATTGAAATGTAGATTAGTAAATAGAACTAAGTAGGTATTTCTTTTATTGCTCACGTATTAATTAAATTTAGTAAATATTATATTATAGTATATTATTATATATTGATTTGTATCTATTTGTATTTAAATTTATTTTGTAAGTATGTATTATTTTCAAATGTTAATTGTAAAAAATGTTAATTATTCAAATTTGTCGTTTAGATATTCATTTATATGGTAGTAGCATTTTTGTATTAAAAGATCTTTTAATTTTTTTTAAAAATATTTAATTTTTCTTAATTTTTAATATTATTGGATAATCTATTATATATTTTTATGGACATGACATAGGGGCTTGATGCATGCATTTTTAATCTGGACGTTCGTAAATTTAGTCTGTTTTGTGTCTCAATGTATAATTTGTATTTAAATCTCCCCTTCTCGTGTAATAATCTGTGTGTTGTCTGACAAATTTACATGTTTCAAGAATATACATACAACGAACGGTTAGTATTTTCAGTTTTCGGAAATGAGGTTTGCAACTCTCTGTGTCGTCTATGTTTACAATTATCCTTATTAACTTTTTTTGCATAATTATCAGTGAGGGAGCATCTGTGCTGGTACCCCATAGGGTGATACCGTAATTCAGCCATGAGAATGCATAGGCATAGGTGACTAGAGCGGTTTTTCTATCAGTGGTTTTTTTAACTTCCCGTGTTTTAATAATGTGGTTATGGTTTGTGTGTATTTATCATGGCAATTTAAATGCATTCCAATGTTTTTAAATAGAAGTTAGCATCCTGAATCAATGCAATAAGTGATGTAACACATTCCAGAGTATGATCATATTGTACTTATTAATGGTGTACTGAGTACCACCATCTGGTTGTTTATGAATTTGTTCGTTGCATAGAATAAAAGAAACACTAAGATAAATACGACAGTACCACAACATGTATAGAATTAAAATATAAGACAAGAGCGTACTCGTACCTCAAAGTCCGGTAACGCGCTTGTAGTCACAAGCGGACTTTACCGCGTTACCGGGTCGCAGGCGTCTATAGGCGGCGCTAGTCACTTTCCATCAGGTGACCCGTCTGTTAGTTTTTTCCTAAATTTCATAAATCAAGTCTATGTGTCTTTTAAGTACAACTAGTAGTAAGTAAAAAAATTCATTCCCATGTCATGATCTATCTTATTGTTTTATAATTGATGTCTTATATATGTATGTCTAATATAAAAAATCTCATGTCACAGTGTTCGTTATTTAATAAATAAGGCTATTAACTAATGTTAATAACATCAGTTAATAGCCTTTATTTATTCATATTATAGAACTTTTTTATATGTAATTTTATACCTTGTTTATACCTAATGGTATAAAATATTGATTATCATTATTAATAACTTAAACTTTAATACTAAAATATATTATATATATATAAATAAAATATATATTGATAGCTAGATATTGATTGATTGATAGATAAATAGATATTGCCAAGAAGAAATCCGATTAACAAGTACCTACTAAGCACAAATCATTATTTTTTAAGAAAAAAAAATGGGACCATTTTCTTAATCAATTCCTTACTGTAACTTAAAATGATTATATAGCAAAAAACCTAACAAAAGTACGAACTTATCTCAAATTTACTTAAATCATAATAACATAGTACAGTAAACGTACCAAAATGTTGACATTCCCACCGCTACACCGGCGGAGTTTGAAAAAGCCAGCGTCTAAGGAGGCAAGAGGCGCGCGGGGCGAAGGGGGCACTTATATTTTAAGATGGCTTCCGAGCGAGCGCGAATATCGACGCGGCCTCAGCCCCCGCACGTCGCCCACCCCCGCACTTACGCCGCGCTATTTTGTTGGCACACTGATTTGTTCTCCTTATGCCACTACAATTTTTTTGTTATGGAATTCGAAGTTGGTCGTTGTAGTATTAGTCCGTGATTTAGTTTGAAAAATTATTAAATTGATGAAAAGTTACTATTTTTAGAACTACCTCATTATTTCCATGGCATCAATTTATGCTTAATGAAGTCTATTCGAGGTAAGCTTTATTGTTTTTTCATGTTTGTCTCAGCCTCTCAAAGTCTAGCTGAAATTACTTGGCACCGTATGTAAGTAAAAAAAAACTACATTTTTCTGTTCCATTTCATTAAAAAAAAAAATGAAACAGGAGTAGGTACAAACAACGAGAACTAACTATTTACATACTGCTATCACCGGCAGTAACAAGTTGCATTTCAACAAGTTAAATGGCAACTTTAATAATTTTTTTTTTAATTCCAATAAGTTTTACCTGTGCATATAAACACTCAATCTCGAAACACATTACTAACAGTCAGAAATAATATTATCAGATTAGAGGTACAGGATCAAACAGCTCTAACTCGGACAGGAATCTCCTGTCTTCTTGACAATATTTTATTTTTAAGGTAAGAAAATATCTATAGGCTAGAGAATTCACAGACAAAGCACAAAGCACGCATAGATTTACAACTATCTGCGAATTACATAAATAATTGACTAATCTACAAATCTCGCGAATAAAAATATATAAATATTGCGAAAAGAACACTGTAAATTTGATAGGTACATTAATAAAATGTCACTCCCGGAATACTTGCAAAGTATTTTAGAGAGTGAAGGTTTTAGAATCCCTAACTAGTGTACAATCAAAAACATTTTTTTAAATTTAGTTATAAAAGAGAAAATATGTTTTGAATTTATACCCACCCTTTTATTCCTGAAATGAAAAATATATATTTTCGTTGTATACTCGAATAATGTAGGAATTCTGCAGCGGGATCTCGTACTATATCAATAAAGATTTAAACTTGAAATTGTACGATACGATCTGACTCGTCAAAACATTTATAAGGCCGTTATAAGACAACATATTTTCAAAATTGAAATACTATTAATAGCGTTCAGTTATATTTTTAGGCTACTCGTAAAATAGGTAATCGTTTTAAACGTTCAAGCTTCGGGAGAAATCGGTTCGACTGGAGCGATACCATGGCCTCCACAGTTTGAAACCGTTGACTTATTACCCAGAGCAAAATAAAACACGAAAAAATCTTATTTATATTACCCACATTGTCAATTGTTACAAAAAAAAAATGTATACCATTTGTTCAAATAAAATATTATAGTTTATCTTACACTCAATTTACCAGATATTTTTTTTTTAGCAAGAGACACTTTTGTTACAGTATTCAAATTCGACTGTATAATCAAATCGATTTCCTTCAATTCTTCACAAGATGGAATATTATATTATATTACCTTCAATACATACATTGATTAGACCTTTAGGCTGTCTGTTTAGCGTAGTTTGTTCACGTAGAACGGCACAAAGCTTTTCGATAGTGAAATAATTAACGTCATTGTAAGCTAGGTTTAAGTAGCACAGAGAATTATTACCGAGGCAGTAAGTTACCCCATGTTCTAAAACTATGTGTTCCGATCTGAATGGATCTTCTACCGGTCCAAACATATCTTTGATATAAACTTTGCATGAGTCAATCGTAATATTATCAGTAGGCGAGGTGCCTTCAGCATCTTTGTAAATGTCACTTATTTTACCTTTCTTCAAAGGGACCGTCGGCGCTGGTTTTGTTACCTTCTTTTTACCAACTATAGATTTTTTTCCCATCTCGTCTACACGATTATTTTTAAATTGATGCTCTTGTTTTAAGTATTGCAAACGTCTCATTTTCATATCCCTTAATTCATCGGCAGTCAAAGCAAATTTTTTCAAGCTATTCAAAATTGTTTCTGCCCCTTCATCCCCGATCATATTGCCAGATAAATTCAAACAAGCTAGTTGTCTGTTTGTCCTTAAAGCATTCCCTATACATTTTGCACCAATATCCGTTATTCTATTTGTAGAAAGATTTAATATGCATAGTTTTTTCGATGCTGGCAACGGGTAGATTAATTTTGAAGCAAGTGCTTTTACCATGTCGTCATTAAGCGTACACCTGGCTAGTGAGAGATGTTTTAAATTCAAATTATCTTCAAGTAATATGTAAACAGCAGCATCTTCAAGCATTGTATTATCAAGTGCCACTTCGGTAATGTTGGATAATGCCACGATTTGCCGTAATTCTAAAATAAGGTCAGGACTTAAGCCACCATTAACGTGAATTGCCGTTAACTGTGTGTGATACGGCAAAGCAATAGTTAAAAGTTTGAGTACGCATTTAGGTATTTTCTTGTTTTTACAAAATTTTAGCTTTACTAATTGGCTGTTGCTGTTGTAAATACAAGTAATTTTAATGTAATCTTCTAAGGCTTCTAAGGATTGATAACTTTTGCTTTGTGATTTTGTTATTGGCGTTACCAGTCCAGGGGTTTGTATTTCTTTGGATTTAATACTTTTGGATCTGCTACTATTGAATGAACGGTCGGGACCTAAAATATTTTAAAATAAAAAAAATTAAAACCAATAGACTCGATTAGTATTTCAACGTATCAGGATGAGTTCCAGACTCATGTGACTAGGCGAAGTGTTGAAAATACTCAAAAAACACATCTCCATTATGCTTTTAGTTATTAGTATTGGTTATTTCAGGATCAGAAATTACACCCCGGAATCAGCGTTTCGCATAAGACGAGAAACAGAGGATACAAATATTAAATCGTTTATTTACTTTAAGAGCGAAATAGTTACAAATCAAACATGTACGTATTTTTCATTTTCAAGTGGATATCATCTTTGACTGTGACTTAAAACTAATTTCACTACGGACCAACACCTTCAAGAACTTTGCTACAATTCAACATATCTATCTATAGATAGATTTAAAATAACGTTACATTCTTCTAAAAAGTTATATATTACGTTGTTTTAGGTAGCAAATTTTGTAAATGAGGCAAAGAAATGGAAAAATCTGTAAAAGGAGACGTGTCGAGACAGCAAACACGTAAACTTCCGTCTCAAATGTACGGGATTGTTCTATCCCTCTAAGAGTCTGTCTTCTGTAATAGAAGAACTTCAACACTGGTATTCAACCTTTACTAACTGCAGTGGGATGAGAAGAAGAAGAATGAATCATATTGTTTTACCAATTGGTGGAAGTTGACCGGAAACAATTTAAAGGAGTTAAGATTGATTAAATTGGTTGATTACTGGCTTGACAAATCAAGAAAGAGCTGTAAAGTTTCCTAATATTTGGTTAATTTAATTTTTTGCTTAGATTTCAGTTAATAGGGCATCGCCTCATAACAAGACAAACTTACTCTGTTCGATTCTTGTGATGATGACAGGCTTGGCTTCTACTCCCATTTCAGTAAAAGCCCAAGGTAGAAAATTATCTAAATCTGATGGATGGTATTTATCAGAAGTAACGAGGCGTGGTGACTGAACATTTTGAACTGATCTACTCATTTAAAACAAAACAAGAAAAACAATACTTAAAAAACATAAAACCTTGTAAAATATATACAAATTATGACAATAAAAACCAAATCATAGCCAAAAGAGTTATTGACATAGTTTTTCTGAAAAAAGAATATTGTTATAAGGTTTTATGAAAATAATAAGAACTTGAACGTCTACCGACTCTACTCTCAATCATGGGACAGCCATGTACCTACACGCATAAATGGGCGAGCCCGACCGGAGAGACAACACGGCCTCACATGAAATCTTTATTAAGCAATTCTTTTGTTCCTTTTTACTGAGTGCGTTTTATCAAAAGCTAAACCTTCTCTAACCCTCAAGATTCAACTATTGGGAAAGATTTTCTGACCCATCATCAAAGATATCATTTGTCGAGTGTCATCGTTTTATAGATCGTTTCTCTAGCATCTTGTATAATATAATTGGCTTACATATTCAGCAGTACGCATAGATGAGTATACACTCTATACTCATAAACATAGTGATTATATTTAAACGTACTTAAAAATATTTTTTTTTATCAAAGAAATAGATAGTAGTTTTTGAAGAATTTATAAAATTGGGTAGCGACTATACTCGTCTGATAAGTGCGTTTAACAAGTGTGACATAGTTTCATCATACTGTACGAAGCCATCAAACGAGCACACTCACACAAGTCAACTTCCACCAATTGGTGAACCGTAAAGGATCTGTGGCATGTCTAAGGATGAGTACAATTTTAAGTACGTTCTTTAAGATTACGAGGAGTGAAATGCAACAGGATGTAATCAAGAAGAGAAAGAATTTGAATATTTCGGCAAAAGTAAATGGGTAACCTGAGGTTCATGAGGAATTCGGATACATAATATTATTTGCATTAGCCAAAAATTAATATTATATGGAAATTTTTGAGATGCTCAGGTTTTTTCAAGTGAAGATACACAGATATAATAAGCCTTATTGAGCAGTTACGAGAATTAAAAAATTACTTATAGTGTTACATGGATCTCTTTTTCTAAAATTGCTTGTGGTTAGACTATATTTTCTTTCATTAAAACGAAACAAAAACACAAGACACAAATTGACTTCAATCACATTTTGACGTTCGTCACGCATTTGTGGATATTTACAAAAAATCTTTTATTAATATTTTATTTTCAATGGCTGGTCGTGATACAATCAGTGATTTACATTTTAAATCTAATGACAAACATGATAATAATCATCCATCTCCATTAAATATAGAAGCGTTTATTCCCTGGGCTTGTGGTCAATTGGAACTGCCGTTCGTCACAATCATCAACAAAGTGCAATTGAGTAAGTCACCTACAGTAAGATTGCTGTCTGGAAATAGCAGACTAGACCTTGTCTGTATTCTAAAATGGCTTTTGAGACTGAAACAGAATCATAATAATATATTCTAACCTAAAAGCGTCTCCAGAAGTCTTTGACCATTATTTGTGTTTGCTATAATGGTTTAAGGACTTGTTGAAGTTGAATCTGTGCGTGCGATGACGTATTAAGAATACAGAGTGTCATATTCATCCCGTGGGTCTCGTATGAGCTGACTAACTAAGCGAACTCTGCAGGACAATAGCACTGCAAAGAAAAGAAAGCTTGAAACAAACCCTATATCAAGTCGTCTGACCAGCGTGGTTTGAGTTGACGAAAACCTCCATTTTTAGGAGAGGCCTACGCCCAGCCGTAAACTATTTAAGGCTGTTGATGATGATTATACTGATTGAAGTTATTTAGTACTTTAGTGACGTAAGAGATAGTGTTAATTGGTATATTTTCAATTAAGAACTGCTTAAAATACCTATATTTGTAACTTAGCTCCTCTAATTTTTTTTTTAACTAGTTTAATTGCTGAATTTTAATAAATCCGTATTTTTAGAGCTGGTCGTTTCATGCACTAACATTTTGAACCCATGTGCGTTCCCATACAGGCTTTCCAAAGGCCATTTAGATAACTATTACTTTCTTTTTATCCCCATTCAGTCCTTAGTTCCTTTATCTGTTCAGGCAGTTGCACTAATATCAGCATAAAATGCATTAAATAATGAAAGTGTAATGTTGGCTTTAACATTTTAGTCGGGGTTGCGCGCAGTACGTCTACTCGAGGCAAAGCAAAAGAAGAGAATACTAATGAGGATTCACAGTCAGGAAGCAACGTGAACGATGACATAAGATTTTCCGGTGTGAATAACACTGATATGCTCATCTACGTTGATGCGATCTATGATAACAACAATTTGATACAGCTGAAGTTTAATTCAAACCTACAAGTGCCAGTGATTTTACTAAAACTCTTCTCTCTTATTGTACATTTTCATCCACATTTGACAGCGATTTACATTAACCGAGGCTTAAATCAAAATGGGTTGTATCAAGTTAGTAAAATTGTAAATGCAGCTAAAGTAACTGAAGTAATTCTTGATAACACCGTTGTCAAGGAAGCCAACTATTATATATTGCTAGACGACAATTGCTCTTTGAAATATCTATCTCTAGCTAAGTGCAAACTCAATGATAGATCAGTGAAATTTATTGCATCTAGGTTAAACTATCCATTAAAAGCATCTAAGACTTTGTCTGTTTTAAATCTGTCTTCGAATATGATCACAGACGAGGGTGCAAAATATTTAGGTGATATGCTAAGAATGAACAGACAGCTGTGTTATTTGAATTTATCAGGTAACATGATTTCAGATATAGGAGCTGATAGTATTTTAAGTATTTTAATGACATTTCCTTTAACTGCTGATGAAATAACCCAAAAGAAGGCAAGAAAATTCCATTACATGAAAAAGAAAAATGACTTTATACGCCATACTGTCGAAGTAATGCGTATTGATTACGAAAAAAGGTATACTGCTCGAAAAAAGATTGGCAAGTCTGTTTCTTCTGGAACGAAGAAGTCAATTTATGATCTGCTTCCAGATAATGAAAAGTTAGGAAGTATGATCGGTTTTGACTCAGTCTGGCTTGATAAAGCTGAAACTGCGGCAGAAGAAATGATTGGGCCATTTCAAGATGCCTTTAATGATGAGAACACAATCACTAAATGTGGAGAAGTTTACTGTTACGGAAACAATGTTCTGTGTTATTTAAACTTAGCGTATAATAGTTTAACTTACTTTAGTGTTAAGAAGCTACTCGAAGTTCTTAAAGTACAGCGAGAATTGCCCAGACGGGGAAAAGGTTTGATAAACGTTTGTATCGAAGGTAATAACTTGCCTAAGGCTTGCCAAGAACTCACGGAAATTGACATCTTTCTCGAAATCGGGCTAAATCGTTTGAGTAATATGTCTACGATAAAAAGGAAGAATGTGCTACGCGCAAAGTGATGACCAAAATTCGAGCTATTAAAAAATTTGGGGATTGTCGCTGTTGAAAACGAAAGAACTATACTCGTATCACACGTACATAATAATAATTAAGTTTTATGCAAATTACTGTTAAAAACTGCATGTTTGAATGAAGTGTTTGTTGTTAATCTTAGTTCATTTTGTTTGTTTCCCGGCTGGCTTTTATCAGAAATGTTTTAGAGAACATCAAAAATCACAAAACATTTATTCCACTACATAAATGTACGATTGCCCAAATTTTAATTTTATATTTATTTTAGATAACTTTGAGTATATTTTATATACGTATAGCTTTATTTAAGATGTGTAAATTTTACCTTATGATACTGAGATATTTTAAATTTTAATTTAATTTTATTTGTATCTTATATTTTTAATAAATATTTAGTATTATGGTTTTCTTTTTGTTATTATAGGGAATTTTAAATACATATATATGATATAAAAAACAGATACAAAGGGCGACCAAGCACTGTTGATGGTCTGGCGATGGCTTAACTTGGACCGTTACAATTTGTTTTCTTCACAATTTATGTGTCACTATTTCACATTTTTTTTCTCTTATGTGTATTTTGTAAGTTTGTTTTATTTAGGAGGGCAAACGAGCAGACAGGCCACCTGATGGTAAGTGACTACCGCTGCTCATGAACACCTGCAACTCAGTCACAAGGGCGTTGCCGCCCTTTGACTCTCCTCCCCTCAGATTTAGATTAGGGCGAGGGGGGAGCAGAAGTTCCTCTCTCGATGAAAATAATAAATTTGTTAATTTTTTTTCCATATAAATTGTAATTTTTTCTCATTTGATCATTGGGATACTGGTTTCCATGTGTTTCCATGTAATATGAGAACAGAGGATATCGAAACTTCCTTCTTACAGGCAAAACATAGTATAAAGAATTGGACCTCTACTAAGCTCTGTTTAAAAGAATTCTCCATGTTTGCGATGTGTGTTTACGAAGGCGCGCGGGCGCGCGTGTGTGTGTGTGTATGTGTATGCATGTGTGCGTTCGGTTAACACTTGTTTTTTGTAAGGCCATTTTTACATTTCAGTCGAGTCGGCCAATCCAAAGCATGGCTCTATCACGGTCCATCATTGAAGTGGTCAGATAGACTGTTAGCTGTGAAAACGTCGAAAAATAAATAGTCTCCAGCTGTTGACTAGTTTACTCGTATTACCGCTGTCGCTGTATGTCACCCAATACGCACATAACCGTACATTGGCACGCACACCAGTATAAGAAAGTTGGATCACGTGTTGTAGTTATTTTGTAGTGTGACGCTCCACCTAGACATTTACAAGATTTAAGATCATATCCATTCCTGAGATGACATATAAAAAAGAGGACATGATCAAAGCATGTCAGAGACTTAGAACTTCCGAATCTTTAATAGTCAATCACTGACCGATGGTAGCGAAATCCATTCGATATCAGCACGGTAATGTGTTTCGAGAGCCCAGTGACTTGCTATTAGAGCATTCTTCCTAAATAACCTTTTCAAAAGCTGAAATGGCAGGGTAAAAAAAAACTCGTTTATTGTATTTTTTATTTACGGTAATTTTGCATTAATTATAGTGTTGTGATGTGATATCATGTTAAATCACATCACACAACTAGCCACTACAGGGGAAACGATCTATATTACTTTTATCTGGAAAAATAAATCTAATCTAAAGAAGCCCTTGGATAAATCTCATTATGTTTTAAAATAATTTATTTTATGATTTTTCCTAAGGCCCTCGCCTCGAGGTTAAGGAAAATATCAGAAATAGATAGATAACGACAGATAGACAAACTCTTTTTTTGTACAATAGCATTTGTGTAATAAATACTAATAGTGAGTCCATTCGCTTGATATACCGCTAAATACGTATAAGATTATCTCGACGAATAGTCGCGAAAAATTTGCAAGGGTCGTCACAAAAACGTTTTCCTTAGATTAGACAAAGGCTTAAAAATAGTACTCGTACGTGCCTAATTTCACTATATTTTTATACCATGTGGAGGAACGGATGTCATTTCTCTCCAACACAAAAAGGAAGATCCTCCGATCAGGCAAGGTGATCATGCCTGGCGGACCGCGCCCCAACGGTTGATGTTGGGAAATTATATATATGCTAATCGGCGAGAGGATTCTTCGTATCGCGATACAGGATTAGCAATTTTCATTCAAGTGTTACTCCGTAGTTCGGTGTGTCTTCGTTAGATTGCGCTGTAGCAGTCGCCATCACAGTAGTTTCTCGGGTAAAAATATTGTTTAAATTTTGGATAAAAGGTTGAGCAAATTATACGAAACATCAGCTCCCCATCACGATATTAATGTAATTAATATAGTTATATGTAAGATAATAAAGAATAATAAGTACCTATGACGGATGACGGTATTTTATTTAGGTAAAATTTCTAAAAATGAAACCTAGCTAGATCGATTAATCGCCCCTGAAACCCCCTGTACACTAAATTTCATGAAAATCGTTGGAGCTGTTTCCGAGATTCAGATTATATTTACATTTATATCATCATCATCATCAACAGCCTTTAATAGTCCACTGCTGGAAATAGGCCTCCCCTTAGAAAGGAGGTTTTGGCCTACATATATATTGCTCCAAAATGTGCTCGTTTATATTAAACCACTGAATACATCGAAAGTTTTATTATACGTCCTTTCTCTTAAATCACAAGCACAGTAAAGAGATAAAAGTACTATTGAGTTACTAAAATAACAAAAATATTGCGAATAATCTTGTTGTACCAAACGCGTGCAACTGATGTACGTAACACTCCTGAACTCCTGTACCGGTGAGTAAGTGAAGCTGGCCGGTACAGACGTCGCGGGCAGGAGGGGAACTCCGCTGTCCTTCATAACCTGGGTAGCTGAGATGACTTACTATTAGTATTTGTTACACATATGACAAGAGTAAGAATACAAATATAGGGGTTAGCCTTCACAGAGAACTGCGTAAGTACTCTTTGAAGGCTAACCATCGATAAGAAAATAAAGGTCCATCTTCACTAAGTAACTGCTAGATACGATTCGAGTAAGACAGATTTTAAAATGTAATGAAAACTTGTAAGGAATATTTAACATTTCATCAACTTTAAAGATTCTACGTCCGATTGTACGTTTGGTAACGGATTAAGAATGCGGAGTGCTCACACCCCATTGACCCAGTATATGTCGTAAGAGCCGACTAAGTTATTTGTACAAATCATGATATAGCATCGACATATCGAGCGAATCCAGTTTTGGGATCACTAAGAGAGTAAGGTCAAATTGGCCTCAAAGAAGCTCGGTGTGCTGAACAGATTGAGGCAGTATTTGACCCCAGTCGGCGCACGGACGGCCGCATAATGAATACTGCTCTCATCTCTATGCAGAGTCACCTCAGTAACAGCTTCTCCCTCTGGACCGCATCCAACGAAGAGCGACTCGAATCGTCGATAGCCCAAAGATCTCCGACCGGCTCGATCACTTGCTTGCTTGCTTTACTCTGCATTCTCTATCGTATATATCATGGAGAGTACTCCGATGAATTGTTCGGACTAATACCGGCCGCAACTTTCCGCCATCGTTCCACACGGTAAAAGTTTCAGCCCCATCCACATATTACTGTGCGTTTTTCAGAACACTTTTTGCCTCGCACAACCAATCTGTGGAACAAGTTATCGTCTGTTTTATTTTTGTTAAGAAAAGAGCGTACCGGCAGCATGTTTGTGACTCTAGAGTTGTAGGCGTTCATGGGAGGCAGTAGTCACTTTCCATCAGGTAACCCGTCTCCTCGTCTGCCCAGTCTTCCATAAAGAAATGAATCATGTAGGCAAGTGATAAATCTTTTTTTTTTAGATTTTATTGAAATTGTTGAAAACTAGTTAAAACAATCATCAAACATCCTCATCATTGTGCTTCCGCCCATTTCTCAATGTAAGGTACACATGAAAAGAAGTTTTATCGGTTTCTTTTGACTGACTCAAATCTTCCTTGTTTAGTGCAAGTCTCTTAACGATAAACGAGACCGAAATTGCATTAGCTCGAATATTTCGAGGTCGTGCACATACCATATTATTGGAGAGGCCACAAGGATCGTTATCATCATCCCATAGTTTAAGAGAAGATGTAAGATATTATGAAGGATGAAAACTTTACTTTTTTATTAAATACTTGCTGTACGTTTGTTTGTGGCACATTGATTAAAAATGAAAACAAAACTAACGCAAAAATAGATAAAAACAATATTTGAAGCGGGTTGTAGACACACAGTTTATATACTATTAGAGAGTTGTATAATTCATCGTGTCAAAATTTGAGTTCAAATAGTGTAGAACTATTTGAGTTTTTAAAGCGTACACAAACCAGATTAACATTTTTAAGATTTCTAACATTTAGAAAGTTTCAACATTGGTCTACTAACACAATTTTTTAACTTGAATGCATTGTTTTCTAAGAGTCGCATTATATAAATTTTGCTCTCTCTCTATAAATACACCTTTATATTTTATAACAAAAACAAAACAGAAACAAATTCCAATCATATGTTGACGTTCATACTATCATATACACGATATTTTTATACATCAATATTTCACAAAAAAAATAATTAAATGAATTCTCATAGTCCTCTCAGTGGCGGTCTCGAATCAGCTGCTAAGAAGCTTGAAAGTCGACCTTCTCCTTTAGACTTTGCAGCTTATTTACCCTGGGCCTGTGGTCAACTGGAAATATCACTCATCCCAATAATAAATAGGATTACAATCAGTAAGTTACCTATTATTCTCCTAGTACTGTTACTGGACATATCATTTCTGTTGCAGTTTATCCGTCAGTATTTATATGTTATGAATTCTAAAGTCTGGCTGTCTGACACAACCTATAAATAAAACTGCTGAAATTCTTCGTCATCATAAACAGCCTTTGATAGTCCACTGCTGAACATAGGCCTTTCCCTAGAAAGGAGGTTTTGGCCTACTATACCACGCCGGCCAGACGGGTTGTTTCCAGTTTTCCTGCTCTTTGTGTGCTGTTGCCCTGCATAGTTTGCTCCCTTAGTCGTCTCTTACGACAGCCACGGGATGAATAATGGTGGTGACTCTCCGTATTCTTAATCAGCGTAGGACTTTTTGTAATTTAAAGCAAATAGAATATTGTCCATCTTAACTAGAAGAACCTGTACTATTTGAAAGTATTGAGTTTTAATGAAATGCCATCAATTTAAACGGGCAAAAGCTCAAGTGAAAGAGCTCGTTCCAGCTAGTGTAAACAAAAACAAACGGCATTCCTTAATTGTGTTGCATTATCACATCATCATTCATTAGCCTATCCGGTCTACTGCTGGACATCTGGATATAGCTCTGCTGCTCTCCAATTACACGCCACTTTGATCGATCCTTGCTTAGTAGGCTTCACAAAAAAAAAACAATAAAAAAAAAACATATCATTGCAGGTGATGCTTTACGCAGTAATGCTACTAGTGGAAAAGACAATAAAGAAGAAACACTTAATGCTGATATACAGTCAGGAAGTGACTTCAATGATATTATAGGCGGATCTAGCACATATTATGCATCCGACTTTTTCCATATAGATGCAGTCTACGACGATAGTAATAATTTAATTCAACTGAAATTCAAAAATAAATCAACAATACCAGTTACTTTATTTAAACTTTTGACTCTTATTGTACAGTTTCAGACGTGTTTAAAAGCGATTTACATTAACCGAGGGTTAAATAAAAGTGGGTTGTATCAACTGAATAAAGTTGTAAATATAGCACACATTACTGACATCATTCTAGACAACACCACTGTCACTGAAGCCAATTATTATATATTGCTGGATGATGATTCTCCTTTGAAATATCTTTCTCTTTCAAGGTGCAAACTCAACGATACTGCAGTAAAAATGATTGCTTTAAGATTACAGCATCCATCGAAAGCATCCAAAACTTTAACCGTTTTAAATCTATCCTCAAACAAAATATCAGACGAAGGTGCAAAATATTTAGGCGATACCTTAAGAACAAACAGACAACTTGCTTATTTGAATCTGTCAGGTAATTTGATCTCAGATACTGGAGTAGATGGCATTTTAAGTAGTTTAATCACATTTAAATTAACAACTGATGAAATTAATGAAAAGAGGGCCAGGAAACTCACTTATATACAAGCGAAAAATAAATTTATAAATGAAACAGTTGAACGTATGTATATAGAATACGAAAAAAAAGTTGCTGCTAAGAAAAAAACCTTTAAGGTTCCTACCGTAACTAAAAGATCCAAATCCATTGAAGCTTCCCAAGATATTGATACGAGTATAGGCGTTATGGATGAAGTCTGGCTTGAGAAGGCTGAAGCTGTCGCAGCAGAAATGGTAGCACCATTTCAAGATCCATTTAGTTGTGAAAATATTATAGTCAGAGATAATGTTCTTTACTGTTACGGCAATAATACTCTGCGTTACTTAAATTTAGCCTACAATAATTTAAGTTACTACAGCGTCAAAAAACTGCATAATGTTATAAGTATACAGCGTGATTGGGATAGGAAGCCAAAAGGTTTGATTAATGTTTGTATTGAAGGTAATCAAATACCAATATTTTGTAAAGAGTTATCAGACATAAATGTCACTTTAGAAATTGGCTTATCTCGAATGCAAAATGCGTCATTCATACACAAAAAAAAGACTGGAAAGAAATAAAAAAATGAGGTTAATAATTTTTTGATTCAATGATGTGAGCTGCTTAAAAAACTTAAAAAGGTTTTTAAGTCAAGTCAATGTAATTTTTCAAATTTAGTTTTTTATTTGATCTCTGTTCCTATCTAGCTGCTTTTGTTTGAGAATAAGTCTATTTTAGATAATTTTATCTTTAGTTTCATATAAGTAGATTTTAATTTATATTATTGTAATAGTTTTAATTTATAGTTATATAATTTTGTTTTAAAAGCAAAATAAATAATGTTCAATATTTACGACTATTTCATATTCTTGTTTATTAAAACAGTTGATTGTTTTAAAAATTACTTTCATAACGTAGAGGTCTGCAATTTTTCCGTATCATATTTTAAAGAAGTGGTTTTATAAGTTTGTTTGTTAGCGTTCACGCCTAAACCACTGAACCGGTTTTAAAAATCCTTTCACTAATGGAAAGCTACATTATCAGCGAGTAACATAGGCTACTTTTTACTTAAAAATTGACGAAACAAACGCAATCGAAACTAGGGCAAAAGCTGATACATTCTGTACATCATAAAAAAAACAGTGGCACTACGGGAGTGCCGACAGCAGTATAAACTTGATTTTTTTAAATGTTATTTTTTGACAAAATTATACCCGTCATCCATGGATAATTCGCTTGATTGATAAAGTTAATCTGAACTAAGTTATTCCATGAGTCAACAGTAATAAATGTTGTAACTATGAAGTACAGGAAGAACTTAAAACTTATACGAGTATATATATATATATATATATATACTCGTATAAGTTATAGATATATATAGATACGAGAAAAAAATAATAAATGCATGATCATCAATGTAGAAAGTTAGTATTATTACGTACCAATCCAATATTTAGTTGGTACATGGTACAAGACCCTGAAAATTGGTACGCCTAACATCCCTGATCTCGTGTAAACGATGCTAATATATGTAGATACTTTTATACAGAGGTGTGGGTAACGTAACAGTGTCGCGAGTTCAATGGTTTTTCTATCTCAAAAATACATTCTTTTGTTTGTTGTTCAAAAATGCCCAACGCGCCTAAAGAACTTTTCACTTCAAATATAGTAGATTTGATATTTTATTAATGTGACAAAATTGTCAATCGCAGCTCTCCACCACTAAACCCTTATCGTGACCTACATAAAAAGCTTACTCTCAACTTGAAGATGGGCAATGCACTCGTCTGCTTTAAATGTATTTGTTTGGATAAGGAATAATATTGTTTTGTTTACAAAAGTAAATTACCTTTACCTTCGTAAATAACCTATTACTTTTTAAACTATGTAAAAAGATAAAAATGGTTACTTTTGGTTATCCTTAAGAGATAGACATATGCCATCGGGGACTTTTTTGTAGATCTTCTTATGATACACAATTCAGTAATAATACATAATATATTGAAAATGTAATTTATGGTGCTATAGCCACACCGCCACGCATCTCAGCCAAATGGGCTAGTTTAACCGCGGAAGTAATAACCCCCTCACACAAAATCGATGATACCGCACACCATGGCATAAATAAGGTAGTAATTTCAAGAGTATTCATTTCAGGAAAGTGGTCATTTCAGGAATTAAGGGTAGTAATTTCCGAACAGTTGTAATTTCAGGAAACTGGTCATTATCGACCTGAATCGAAAAACCTGAAAAGAATCTGTCAGCAAGTTCCTCATGATTGTACTGTTCGTACACTTATCAAAACGGGCCATGAAGGCTGCGATTCGGCTGACATTACTACCTCAACAAACATTGTGCGCCTCGGTATAGTAAGGTGCTAGTCTGATACAATGCCTATAGATGTTATTGAACCCGAATGCCATCCAAAAACCTCTTCGTATATGCCATGCAATCCAAAGTTAACACGTGTAGAATTTCTGACACTATGTTCTGAACAGATGTAATTTAGTCTGGACATACTTTTATTGAGGAATAATTGACAATAAGGGTAAGTTGCAGATAAAATAGTTATGTGTACAGTAGGTTTGTGTACAAATTAAGGACTAATTTCACAAGCGAATTAAGCTTATATCTAAATCCTTAGGAGTATACGAATCTTTTTGTTGTCCCTTAGTGCATCCGATTAAAAAAAAATACTGTTTTAGAATACATCAACTTTATTGTATTAAATAATGAAAGATTGACTTATTTTACTGTAATCTGTGTTTCGTGTAAAAAAGGCCCCTTATCAAGGCGCGAATCGACCTGTCCCGATGTCAACAGGTACCTTAGTATAACGCTGGGCACTGTACACTCACATTTAATTAGGTACTAATAATTTATTTATAGTTTAGATGAAGAAACTTTAATAACAGTTGCTCTTTTCGTACTGGTCGCTGACGTTAAAGACGGACCAATGCCCATTTTTATGATTTCTTCTATTAGTGTCATTTCCGTACAACATTGAGGTATCTTATTGCCCTCGATACAGACATTAACCAACCCTTTGGGTGCTTTAGTCTGACTGCGCTGTGCAGATAAAACATTGTACAATCTTTTTATACTAAAGTAACTAAGGTTATTGTATGCTAAGCTTAAATAATTCAGTGTGTTATTACCAAGACAATACTTAACATTATTGATAATATTTGTATTTTCAAGACTATAAGGATCGTTGAAGGGTTCTACATTAAAAGTGGTAGGGTCATAATAAATGGAAGATTCTATTTTAGTGTCAGGGTTGAGCGTAGTCATAATAGCTTTTTCAATAGTTTCAGATTTGGATTTTTTTCCTGTCAATGGCACAGGTTTCCCTGTTTTCTTTTTATCAATCTTTTTGTCAACAGGGATTCTTTTTATATTTCTTTGTTTTAAAATATGTTTTAAATAAGTAATATGTCTAAGTTTCATAGCTCTCAACTCATCAGTGGTTAGAGGGAATTGCACTAAGCTGTTTAAAATACTGTCAGCTCCAATATCAGTGATCATGTTACTAGCTAAATTTAAATAAGCTAGTTGTCTATTTGTTCTAAGCATATCACCTACATATTGTGCACCAACGTCTGTGATTTGATTAGATGATAAATTTAATACTTTGAGACTTTTTGAAGCTGCTAGGGGATGTACTAGTCTGTTAGCAATTTCTTTCACTCCATCATCCATAAGCTTACATCCAGCTAGTGATAGATATTTTAATTTCGATTTGTGATCTAATAAACAATGATATTGGGCTCCTTTGACCACTGTATGATCAAGAATTACTTCAGTAATATTAGACGCAGACACAAGTTTGTCAAGTTCGTACAGCCCATCGTATTTTAATCCTCCATCGATGTGTATAGCTGTCAAATATTTATAAAATTGTTCAATGAGTAACAGTATTCTCAAGATCGCTCTTGGAATGTACGTGTTTTTGTTAAACTTTATCTGAACCAAGTTATCTTTGCTATCGTACATAGCCTGAATATAGCAGACCGGGATGTTGTGCTTTATGCCAAAGTTAGTACTTGCTGAACTACTTTGGTCTAAGTTGACGTCCATTGCTAAATCGTGTAGAAATTTGCTTTTTCCATCTCTTGATTGTTGTTTACCTGATCCAAGTGAGAGGTCATCTAAAACAAAGTATTTTCATATTGAATTAAGGGCATGCTCATCTGATAAAAAATGTACCCCTTCTCTATCGTCAGAGTTTCTCAACTTAGCCATTTGGGCCGGGACTGCACAGATATATTTACTACTTTCAAACCTTCAAAAAAAAAACTTACTCTTTCCTCAAAGGCTTGTGAGTTCTGACGTTCATGGGAGGCGATAGTCACTTTCCATCAGGTGACCCGTCTGCTTGTTTGCTCCTTCTTTTACCCCGCACCTTAACGTGGCTTCCTACTGCGTCAGCGCAGTAAGAACTCAAAAGTACTTCAACTTTATAAGTACAGGTCTTTTAAATGCAAAAATGGAGACCTTTCAATTGAGTTAAATCAACTGATTTTAAGGGTTGGTGAAATTAAAGATGTTATACGGAAAATACTTAATACACACAAAGGAGTGTTTTCATTTATGTTTGTTGGCTCAAAAGTCTGTTAATTGTACAATGATTTAGAAAATTATTATATTTTTAGTGTTGTAGGTTCGATACCCACATGGGACAAGATTTGTGTAATCTACAAATTATTGTTCCGAATCTAGGTGGTCCTTGTGTCCGTTTATGTATGTTTATAACGCCTCCCCTTAAACCTTAAATATGTTATAAATATAAGCTTAAAATCAGAGAGAGAGAAATTTATAAATTTTGAAGTAAACGAATATGGTCAATCGAATTCCTTACATGTATATTTAATCACTTACTTTGTTTATCTATGGTGATGATAGGAAGTGTATCAATATCAAGGTGTCTGCAAGCCCAAGGCAGGAAAGCTGCGAAATTTTTTGGCGAGGGAGATACGTTTTTTGACATAAAAGTATCCATCCAGATTCATATAGAAACTTATAAACATCCAAAAAACTAAAAACAATATATAAAACTTAAAAAAAAAACGACTAAAATATCAAAAATTGCTTGATGATACAAACAAAGTGATCATGTCAAAAAACGTCCATTTTTTTTTTTATTAAAAATCTGTAATTTATGATGTCACTAAACTTGAAATCAGCATTGGAGGTTTTATGTTAAATTGGGAAATAGTAAAGGTTTTATGGAAAATTAGAGTTTCGATAAGGCCAAACGTCTCCTCCAAAGCTATTCCGTAATTCCTCCTATTTTAGGCGGCAGTATGGCTCTCAATATTTTATTTACTTAGATGCCAATATACAGCTCAACGGAGTACCCCTATGGGATTACGGCCCAAAAGGATTTCCACAACCTAAAAACTGGTCGTAAATAGTTCTAAACGCATATTCTAGGAGGCTTCACATCGTGGGTGATTGCCGACGTATGTCAAGTAACAACGCAATATCAGGAGCAGAAGTCAGCTTCACTCGATGCCGTTCATTGCTGGTGTACACGCCAAAATTACTTCATGGCTATTGGCTCATGAAAGAAGATTCATATTACGTTCGGCAAAATCACGTCAGAACGGTCGTATGGATCTAAATGGAGGATAAAGAGAGAGATACATTTTAGTCCACAATAGCACATTAGAGTCACATTATTACAATGTGACTATTGCACACGTCAAGTTTTAAAACTTTTTTATAACTAGAAATACAATATGAACACTCAATACAATAACAGGCCTGTTGGTCCAGTGGTTAGTGACCCTCACTGCTAAGCCGAAGGTCATGGGTTCGATTTCCACCCAGGACAAATAATTTGTTCTGTGTCTAGGTGTAATTTATCTATGACATATATGTATTTAAAAATATATAAGTATGTTTATCAGCAGTCTGGTTACCATAGTACAGGCTCTATCTAGGTCGGGATCAGACGGCCTGGTGTGAGATGTGTGAGGTATATTATTAGATATTATTATTAATCTCCAAACCTTCGGCAATGCACTCGTGAGTATTAAGCTATAGGCGACGGTAGTCACTTACCATGAGGTTTACCAGGATGAGGTTTGGTCGTAGGCCCATCTATCATAAAGGAAATCATCGCTCTTCCAATCGACTCCCTCTTTTTAATGCAAACCAACCAACACGCTTCGTGTCAGCTGGTTACGTCTGCTTTAAATATATATTTGATATATTTCAGACATCTGACACAAAACTCCATCTAATTTCAAACTAAGCAGAGCTTGTACCATAAAAGCTAGATTGACTGATAGAATACTTAAATATTTTTTTTGTAAATACACATTATAAATAGAAAACACCCAAAACAAATCCGGGAATTGAACCCGAGACCTCAGCACAGCAGTTGCATACGCTACGACTGCGCCGCCGAGGCAATCAAATAAAGTTACTAGCTTTATTTTGGCAACTTGAATGAATCACAACCTTTTTTGTCTTCCTTGCCTGTGTCAAAATATAAAGAAACAAAAATAGAAATATTTTGTCTATTAGGTACATAAAACTCTGTGTCAGTTATCAATAGAATATTACAATAATCTCTCATAATAAATACCTTTGCTACATTATACTAATCTGAGATAAATACTTTAAAAAAATGGAGAAGTATGGAAGTGCTACAATGAATTTTAGTAAAACGGATCAGAAACCATTACCAACAAATTTTGATGAATTTATACCTTGGGCGTGCCGTGCCTTACAAGAAAGCTTCTACCCAATCATCACTAGATCTACACAACGTGAGAATTCCTGCTTTTTATTCAATTTATATAGGGGACTAATATTATAAATGCGAAAATAGTTACTTTCGCATGTCTGTCTGTTACGGCCTGGCTAATGAACATTCGCTGCAGTGATCATTCGCGCGGTGCGAACAGCGGAGTCTAGAGCGACTAAAACAAATGTATGGAAAAGTACTGGCCCGACGAAACTTGCAGACTGAATCGCGTGAGCGGCGGGCGGTGCGGCGCGCGGTACGTAGAAACAAATGTATGAAACAGTACAGCGTATACCACGGGGTCGAGCGTCACTTGCCACAAGAAACAATGAACTTCTTATTCAAATGCCATATTCGTTAAGAAGGTTGTCATCATCAAGACTATTATAGTTTTAGATACTACGGATACCTTTTGTAGCTTGTTGACCAGAAGTCCAATTCTCGAAATAAAAGTTCGATCACAAATTCAGTTCCGATCAACTCTTGATCTCACACTGTCTTAAAAGGTTTTTCCTTACCGCCCGCCGCACTGACGTTCGCGCGCTCATTCCCGTGGCCAGCCTGTTACGCTTTCACGGTTAAACAGCTGAACCGATTTTAATGAAATTTGGTATGGAGATACTTTGATTATTGAGGAACGATATAGGCTGCTCTCATAGAATAGTTATGACACTCGATGTACTTCTGATACTTAGGGTTGTCACGACCTAGTTGGAAAGTGGGTTGTGTGTGACAATCCTATTTATTGGCAAAAATATACAGCTCTAGTAGTGGTCATTGAAGAGATTCAAATACTATATTAAAGACCTCATAAAAACCCATAAAATCGCTTGCTTTTGACCTCTGTTTTGTTCGCGTTGTGAACGTTGCCGTGTGTATGAATACTGTGTGAAATATCATATCTTTCGCTTTCCTGCAATCATAATTCATGAGTATGTATGAATCTATCGTCCCCAAACTCTATGAGTACATGTCTTTTAGATGTAAAAATGGAGACAATAGACCTTTCAATTCAGTTGAATCTGTGATAATCAACTGATTTTAAGGGTTGGTGACATTCAAGATGCTAAACGAAAATACTTAACACACACAATGGGGTGGTTTCATTTATGTTTGTTGGATTAAAACTCCGTTACTTATAAAATTATTTAGAAAATTATTATTCTTTTTTTCTAAGGTTCCTATTTGGTCGCATTCAAACTTAAAGAAATAATTCTACCCCTAAGGGTGAAAATTAAGAAATTATTAATAAAGTTTATTAGAATTCAACTAGACGTAGGCGCAGGTAGTTATCCTTTTTAAGTTGATTTTCTAGAATTTTATCCATTAAAAATTACATCCTAATTGCGTAGCTTGACACTTCTCCTTTCTCTTCTAGTGGGGCGGAACATTAAACCTAATAAACTACCACGTATTTATTTGTACATATATTTATCGGTATATATGAAGGTACATACGTATGTATTTAATGTAATAACTTATGTGCATAATATTCTTTACAAAATTGTTCTCATATTCCTGCCTTTTCAACACTGAATCGCTCCTGGTTTGAATTAAGTTATAGTCTAGTAATTCCGTGTGGTTATGGATTAAGAATAAGGAGTGATACCACCCCTATTCACCCCATGGATGTGGTAAGAGTCGATCAAGGGAGCAAACTACGTAGGACATAGCACGGCAAAGAGAAGGACAGCTTTAAATAAATCCTCTACTAACCCGTCTGGCCAGATAGTAGGCCAAAACCTCCTTTCTAGGAAGAGGCCTATGTTCAACAGTGGACTATTTAAGGCTATTGCTGAATAGTCTAGGAATAATATAATAATTGACTTGTTTTCAGACACCCTTGATACATCTACGACTAAAGGAAAAAAAGATAAAACACTAGAAAACGAACTAAACGACATCGAATCTGAATTCTCCGACAAGGAAACTGGTTCAGACGATTATTATAATAACATGAATAATATAAACATTGAGGCAGTCTACGATAGTAACAATTTACTACATCAATTGAAATTCATTAAAAACAACAAAGTACCAAGACATTTACTGAAACTTATTAGTCTTATTACACGATTTCATCCTCAATTGACAGGGATTAATATAAATAAAGGATTGAACCACGAAGGACTCTATGAAATTTCAAAAATGGTGGCTTCATCGTTTATTACTGAAGTCATTCTTGATGGTACAATAATCAAAGAAGGCAATTTTTATTTGTTAGTAGAAAAAAAATCCTACTTGAAATATCTGTCTCTAGCTAGATGCAATATCAACGATACGATACTTAAAGAACTTACCGCAAGATTAATTCACCCATTACCGATGTCAAGAGTTCTTTCAGTGCTTAATTTATCTTCAAATAAAATTACCAATAATGGCGCAAAATACTTAGGGGAAATGTTGGAAACGAATAGACAGTTGGCTTATCTTAATTTGGCAGGAAATATGATCAGCGATACCGGGGCAGAAAGTATTATGAACAGTTTAGTAGAATTCCCCCTCTCTATTGATAATATAATAGCGTCAAAAACTCGAAAATATAATTACTTAAAAGAGAAAAATAACTTGGTTAAAAAAACTGTTGAAGAAATGCTTTATATTGAATTAAATAAAATGTCTTCTAAATCTAAATCCGATCAAAAAGGACCGGCTTTTATGAGGAAACAAAAAGAATCAAGGATTAGGGAGTCAACATTAAGATATAAACACCGCGAAGAAAGTTATGCTGAGTTAGCTGAAAGTGCAGTCAATGCTCAGATGGGCCCATTTATGGATCCATACAGTTCAGAGAATTTAATTAGTAGAAATGGAACTCTATACTGCCTTGGCAACAATATTCTATGTTACTTGAGCCTGGCTTATAACGATCTCACAAACTTAAGTGTCAAGAAGTTGTATTCTGTATTAAATACACAGCACAATTTAAACAGAACTCCTAGAGGTTTAGTCAACGTCTGCATAGATGGTAATGATATGACCGACTCTGATCCAGATTTGGCTAAAATTGATTTAATTATTGATCGTGGGTTAACTGCAGAATTACCGGTCGTAACTACAACTTCAAAGAAAAAGGGGGGAAGTACCAAATAATGTTTCGTGATGAAACCGAATAATAAAGTGAAAAGAACATGGATGTAAAATATTATATCCTCCTTCTTTCTTTTTGCTCATTTTAGCAACTTATCAAATAATTATTTAGGAAATAGAGAAGTGAGGTATCATGTTTATCTCTCTTTTTAAGTTGCTCCTAGGATTTCTACAATAAGTAAGTGACTCGAAGAGCTTCAATATAGCCAATGCTCCAATGGTATATACCTCTTGAAGGGTAAATATTGATTACAAAAGAAGAATGTAAGTTTTTAAATAGATTCTTACATGGTTGATGGTAGGCTTTTAAATACTAAGAAAAGTGTTCTGATAGGTTAAGAAAGTAACAAAATGTTAGGAAACTTTCTCCCATGATACGAATTTATTTAAATCAAAGAACGAATTTATTGAATAGGCCTAGGTCCACCAGTGCACGTCTTTCGGCTGAGATGATGATGATGATGAAATGAATAAATACTCTTTACAATTTTGATTGTGCAAAGTAGCCCCTTACCGTTTGAGATAGTTACAGATTCGTTACACATTTAATACTTAATTTAAACTTAGTACTACTTAATTTATTATTTAATTATCAATATTTTTATTTTTACATAATCATTGTCACAATGTCAAAAATTTAGTTTTTAATTTAGATATATTCTTTAACTTTAATTATTTATAGTTTTAGATTGTATTGTAGTTTTAGACTAAGCGGTTTTCTTATTTATGGAATAAATGACGTTGACTTATAAATTGTGGAGTTTTAATTATATTAACTTACTTCAACTGAGACTCTAAGCGACTTCTATGTATATTCTATGTATCCAGCCTGATGGTCTATTCGCTTCGCACTCAAGACAATTATTGTCAGATGAGCACGATCATATTTTGTTCTGTGTCTGGGTGTAATTTTTCTATAACATTTCGTGGTGACGGATTAAGAATACGGAGTTTCAGCACTCTTATTCATCCCGTGGGTGTCGTAAGAGCCGACTAAGGTAGCAATCTACGTAGGACAACAGCACTTGCAAAGAGAAGGAAAACTTGAAACAAACCCTTTACCGAGCCGTCTGGCCAGCGTAGTATATTAAGCCAAAACCTCCTTTCTATAGAGAAGCCTATGTCCAGCAGTGGGCTATTAAAGGCTGTTGATGTGATGCGTTGTATGTATATAGAAATATAGAAGTATTTTTATTTATTTATTGTTTATTGTACTGCAAAGGCGAGGAAAACTTGAAACAAACCCTTTGCTGACCCGTCTGGCCAGGGTGGTATAGTAGGTCAAAAACTCCTTCCTAAGAAGAGGCCTATGTCCAGCAGAAAACATCGTCATCATCAACAGCCTTTAATAGCCCAAAAGCTGTTGATGATGATGATGTTTTCTTTAAAAATGTGTGTGCCTGGTTGACGATAATAGGCTTGCCCTCTAAAACGTAAGTGGGATTAAAAATATAGTGGGCAAAATTAGTATCAAATACATACTAATTTTGCCCACTAAATTTTCAGGATGTTTTATTTTTTGCCTTTTTTTAAGATAACTCTCGCACTGGGAATATATCCTGCCGCAGGTGACTTAACATACATGAAAACGACACAAAGAACACCTCACTCAAAAAAAATTAGCTATGTGAATCTGAAAATATGTACTAAACCAGGCCTGGAACTTACCAAACTATGTACACAATTTGATCGTGATATTTTGAACAAGCACAGTAATTCAGATTTTCGTACACGATGGTAAATTATATGTAATTATGTAAATAAGTAAGCGGTGATGTAGCAAGTTATCACGCGGGTACCGAACCCCACACCCCGGCCCCTAACGGGCTGCGCGAAAACTAGCAGCGATATAATAACTTCGTGTGCTTAGAGGAATTAAAGGGATGGAGATGGACTATTGAGAATTAATCTAATTAATCGAAACAAACTAAGAAAGGGACGTTATCTGCCTGCGATTGTTCCTACTATTTTTTACACATATGTCATGATTATTTTTCAATTAATACCAATCATCTATATCATCATCATCATCAGCCTATCGCAGTCCACTGCTGGACATAGGGCGTCCCCCATTGAGTGCCACTTAGATCGAATTTGGGCTTCTCGAATTCAGCATCATCTATATACGTGTACAAAAAAGTAAAGTTGGTTAGTGTACGCTTCAAAAACTCAACAAGTTCTGTACCGAATGGGTTTAAATTTTGGTACAATCTACAAACAGCTTCAAACTTTTTTTCCCTCATTTTTTTTTCAATGCAACCACAATATTTCACAGCGATGCGTGGCAGTTTACAGCTGGTTTATAATATAAATGTTAAAGTATATTTGTCTATTTATAAGCCACCGACAGTCAACGATAAAGAATTAAGCTTTTTAAAAGTTTTAATAATAATAGATAATATTTTATAGAGTGAACTCGCCTTAGAAACGAATGATACGATAACGAAAACATATGATAAATAGTATAAGGCCTGATTTACAAACAATATTTTCATAAAATTAAGGAAGCAAAAAGCCGCCTCTACATTTAACCGCCGACGCTACGCGAGCTCGAAGAAGTGTTTCAAAGCGGAGCCATCTTGCTTCTCATCTCCTTACACACCGCGAGATAATGTATTAAAATATGTACATACCGTGTCTATACACAAACACATAGTATGTATCTCTCGTCTTAGATGTAATACATTAGTGTATTGTGTACATGCTGTCTTTGTATTTGTGTCAAGTGAGGATTGGTTTTTATGGGATTTTGATTTTAATTATACTGATGGAATAATTACTGGCTGGACTATGTTGATTTTAAGAGAGTATAGAAACCAGCTAACTGTTTACATTGCTGGATCTAAGAAAAGCTGCCTATGGTTTGGAAAGAAAACGATCCCCAACACGAAAGCGAGGTATGGTATGTTCCTTTAGCGAGGACTGTCAAAGGATGGTCAAGTCCACAAGTATGTTAGTATCTACTCAATCCTGATAGATAGCCATAGCCAGAAGAAACTGATACCATTTCTCTGCTGAGAGTAATAACTCTTTAAAAATATCTAACATTTACTACATAATCTGTGTTTTAGAGTTAATTGAGTGCTATAGAAGAATTTTTACAAAAAATATTATTATTTTGGATAATTTCAATATTGGGGTAAAGAAAATGACACAAATCTCAGCGGCAATTCTTGCCGTAATCCAAACATCTTAACATAAATCAATAAATTACCCAGGAACAAGTAGGAGCCTCCCTCGAAACAGGGAAATATATTCGGAATTAGTGGCAACACAAATAAATCAGGCACTCGCCGACCGACAATATAATCGCGAACTTAGAAACACGTACTTATGAACACCCACCACCCCGCGTTCCGTTTTGAATTTCGAATAGGTAGGGTTGCTAGTTTAGGTGTAAGTATTTTTCTTTTACGTTCAAGGGAGGGAATTTGATAAATGGTTATTTCCATCTTCATTACTAATCTCTCGATTGAAACAGACAGATTTTCTCTAGCATAATATTATATGAAAAACGTACAATGTCCCCTTTGAAAATGGTGTTTACAAAGTGGTGTTCCAGATGGTGTGGTGGCAGTGGTGATAGGCTGATGATGATGCTGACATATTTTGAACTGACATGACATGGTCCAAAACCTATATAATGACAGTTCAATTTATAAGGATCAACTACTACCGACCAACTGCGCCTACTGAAAATGGATGGCGTACCTAGTGGTTTAAGCGGCCGCCACGCCGCTTTCTACTGCGCTGAGTGTTGTGGTGTCGATCTCTACATAGGGCTTGTTTGGTTGTTCTGAGGTTGTTCTGAGTCTGGGTGATCTTTGTATCCGTCTCATGAATATTTGTAAAGTCCCCCACGAACACAAAGTAAATTTCTAATGACGGAGCGGTTTTTTGTAATTCTAAAAAAAAATACGATATTACGTCCTATGTTAACCATTTAAAAATAAAACAGTTCAGATCTTTAAACTCAAGAGTGTAACAGCAGGTTTTATTTTTTGTCTAATATAAAGAGCTAACAAGAAGTGGGTAGTCCTGGTTGTAAGTGAATACCGCCACCAGACTGCAAATCCAGAATCATAAGCACTTTGCGGACTTTTGAAGCCCTCAAGGTCGTATTTTTTGTAAAGCAACTACTGTAGAGATAGTGTTATTAATAAATAAATCTAAATTTAAAAAACTAATGTTGAATTTAGACCGCATGGTAGGCCACTATTTATAAGAAGAAAGTAAATGTGCTTATTATCTGCCAGCCCTAGGCGACTCAAACAGAACAAACTTAGATTGAGAACGAACGAACCGCTGGCGTCGTTCTTAAGATTTGCGAGACGCCATCTTTAGTTCAAACAGTTCCAAAGATTCCTGTTCATCTGTGGTGCAACGTGATTTGCATATAACTACAACTTATAAGCAAGAGGGTCGGCAGAACTGTTACACTGTGTTGATTTTAGGTCAGGTATTTCTTTACATCACTTCTTAGTTTAACTCTAAAAAATCTTGTAAAGGAAAAAACAGTCTTGATATTTGAAATAGATTGCAACATAATACACATTATCTACTTAAAGGGGGGATTTAAGAACTTAGACATCTACCAGGCAAGATCGCAAAGGGATTAATAGCAGGTGCATTTCATAAAAAAAAACTAAAACAGGAACAATATTAATGTTTTCGAATATTCAAGTATGAAAGGTCATTTTTTGTACGCATTTTATTGTGTGCCTTTTTCTTTAGGTAGATTTGGAACCTGTAATAATAGTTGTACGGTTAGGTAATAAATAAATAAAACAAACTTGCCTTCTAAATTGTATTAGGTTATATTTGCCTCTGTGCCTCGACTGCCTCGGTCTTGCAGCATATGCGACCGGAAGTCTCGGGTTCGATTCCGGGGTCGGACCAAATGTTTGTATGATCTGCAAATATTTGTTTCTCAGTTTGGGTGTTTTGTATGTGTAATTTTTTTGTTTTTACAAAAAAAAAGGATAAAAGTATTCTATCAGTCA